GCACACGACACCTATTGTGCTATAAAAACTTGTTATGGCTCTAAATTATAGAAAACTATAAAACTAAGTTTTAAATTATACAAAATATTTTGTAAGACACCAAAGGCACTACAGCCTTAAATGTCAATAATTCAGAAGCTAACAAACAACAAAGTCCCATTTCTTTCCATCTTTCACAAGGCTGATCCCAGCAGGCAGGCTTTATTCTTAAACTAGATGACATGATTGCAAGATGGCTGTAATTTTTCCAAACTTTACATCTAAACCTGAAAATATTTTAACAAATATCGCTCGTAGGAATGAAGACTCCTTTCCCAGAAGTCCCCCTGTAGATCTCGCCTCACGTCTCATTGGTCAGCCTTGCAGTCACCCTTAGATTGTCTAGTTGTTCAGAGGAGGAAGTAACTCAATGAATGGATTTTTGCTAGAAAAGAGGATGATAGAGGCTGAAATTGGTTAGGTATCCTTCACGGCTGAGACAATTTCCTTTTCCTATGCTTGGACTTGTTTCCACATAGACCACAACCACTCTGGACCATGTTTCAAGTTTTCTCTGATTCAACACTGGACCTAGCATATAGCTTTACATAAAGTAGGTACTTCATGAAGACATGATAAAATAATAGTTTTATGGAATTCACTATGGCCAGATCAACAAAAGCCCTATGAATCACCTGAAGGGGCACAGAAATCACTATGAGACACAGAATCTATTGTCTCATGGTTTGTGATGTCAGGACTCTTCTCTTTGGAGATCCAATCCTCTGTGTATTCTTGTGGTAAATTCACCATAACAACTCAAAAACACAAAAATCCAACAACCTCCACATCTTTGACCTGCCGATTAGAAGGACAACTTTCCATGTTCTTCCTCTTACATGTTGTGCTGCACCCTGTAGTAACATCCCAAGCTAAGCAAGGTTAGTGGTAATATTTACATGATGCCAGGATACTTTTGGCCCCAGATACTTTCCCCATTCTTCCTGAAATTCTTCTTCTTCTTTTTTAAATGATTGAACACGTGTCCTTATTTTCTTGGATGTCTGGTCTGAAATTCCATCATTAGAGGCTCATCTCTTTACACTAACCAGCTTCTTTCTTTTAATATGCCCAGGGCTGTTAGAACATGAGACAAGAAGCAGTCACCCATCATTCACTCTAGAAGGCATTCATTTCAACTGACACAGACACTGACTCTTGGTGTTGAAATCTACCTGTCTTGGTGGTCATTTCACAACAAGATGGTATAGGTAATCCTGGAATTTTAATTTGTTAAGAAAGAGAAGGGGGCAGTGATGATATTTAAACAATTTTTCCAAACCAGATTGTACATCAGGAATATATGAGTGATTATTTTTAAACAGTGAATCCTGATTGTCAATTCATAAATTTAAGCCAAACAGGGGCTCCTTAGTTAATAATGAAGAGAGCAAATCTTGTCTGAGGTTGGGCAGGTATAGCTGGTGAGCCAGCGGGGAGGGGAGTTACTTTATCAGAGGATGGCCTATGGCTCTTAGGAGCTGAGGATGAGAGGAAAGAGGTGGTTTAGGGTAGGGCCCAGAAATGAGAGATTACCTCAAGCTTTCCTTTTTGTTGCAAAATAAAAGCTGCCCTACTTTATAATTTTCCTTGGGGTTGTCTCTCTTTTCATTGGACAATGGTTTGTTACAGAGAAATTAGAGGAAAAGGGAAAAGGCAACAATGCAGTGAAGGCAAAGGGAATATTTGGAAAATATTTAAACGCAAAATATGGTACGATCAGGTGTACTCAGAGTAAAGAATGGTGTGTATAGGTGTATAGAGATGACTGTGGAGTATAAGTATAGGTGTGCATGTGTATAGTGTATGTGCTAGTATGTATTTGTGTGCAGGAGGGAGTGCAGCAGTGAAAGGGTAGGCTATGGTCAGATGGAAAGGACTTTTTAATCACATGCCAAGAGATTTGAACTTTACCTTACCTGAGATGAGGAGCTACCAATGTCTGAAACAAGGGAAAAACTGAAGTGTTTTAGCAAGATAACACTGGTGACAATGAGGAGAATGGACTGAAGGAATAAGAAACAAAAATAGAAAAACCAGTTTAAAAGATACAGCAGTCCAGACATAGGTGAAGGCCTGAATTGGGTGGCAGAAGTTGCATGGATTAGGGGGAGAACTGACAGAACTTGAAGACTGGCTGTTAGGTTGCAAACATGAATACAGATTCCTAGCTTTAGTGTTTGCAGGATAATGCTGCCAGCAAAAAATAGTAGCCAGTAGCGAAGAAAATTTTGGAGGATAGATGTTAAATTCAGTTTCAGAAATGTTGATTGTGCTTATAGGGTATCTCAGTGGAGAAATTTGGTAGTTGATGGAAATACTGATCTGGAACTCAGTAGAGGAGTCTGGCTGCAGATAACTGAGTTGAGCAGAGAATGAACCCAGAGGGAATCTGTAGAATGAAGAGGAGAATCCAGGATGGAATTCTACGAGCACAACCAGGAATAAGCCAGGAAATTAAGGAGAGCAGCCAGGAAAGCAGAAGAAAAAAACAGACACAGAACAGAAGTCAGAGGTACAGGGTGTTTGGGGAGGAAATTAAATATTAAAAGGAAGATTTTCTTATTATGAGAGAAATTAGAATATTTACAGACATGGGGGAAGTTACACTAGGGAGAGAATTTGAAGATGCACATTAAAGAGGGATGCAAACTGGGGCAGTGTTCCAGGGGTATCCAGAACCTAGTGGAAGGAGGATCCTTGGCCTGTGAACACACTGGAGAATATATGCGATGACCTTCATTTTAAAATTACATTTGTCTTTTCTCTAAGGACTTGTGTTTAGTTTAGATTACCTAGGCCTCCCATGGTCTCTCTTTTTCATCCTCAACCTGCCCATTTACTATTTCAATGATTTTAATCCCTTCAATCAAAAATGAGCAATGGAAGGTGATAAATATGGAAATAAGTGATGAGTGCAGCTTTTTCTTAAGCATCTGTAAGAAGGTCTACAGAAAGTGAATTTGATCTAGGTGTTAAAATGAGATATGAGAGTGATATGTTTCTAAAGTGGTTCGCATGTATGCTGGAGAGAACACAAGATGTATAAACACACACACGTGCCTTTTTACATTGCATATAATTTAAACAACCATATGTGTGTGTATAGTGATGCTGAATGCTTAGAAATTTGATGCAGATAGGGCAATGCCATACAAAATTTTGAATGTTTTAACTACTGAGCTAGGATGTCAATTAACCATGTTAACCTTGATACTCATGGCACCAAAAAAAGGATACTGCTTCATTAGGAACCTCAACTGATAACACAAGAGACAAAGTTTTAGTATAATGATCTTAAAGTAACAGAAAATCTGTTTCTTGAGGACATGAGTGATTGGAGCGAGGAGAGAGAGTAAAGACACACAATCCTTTTGCAGATGTCCTTTTAAATCATCCTTGCTTGCTTGTCTCGAGTTGTCCTTATTAACTCTAGGTTGAATCTCGGCATCTGACTTCATGCCTTGCAGCAAACATTCCACTGAAGAGTTTCTCAATGTTCTTTAAAGAACAAGTCTCAACACTTCAAAGATAATAAAATGATGCTATGCTTCCTTAGCTTTTAAAATAGCCAGTAATTATTGAGAGATGAAAAGCTTGGATTTATATTTCTATTAGCTCCTAGGAAGGTTGAGATGTTCCAGAGTCTAATTTTCAGTGTTGAATTCAACTTTACCTGAAACCCCTAGATAAGGGTTGATGGTCCCTCAAAACAACTCTTGTGGCCCCAGGAGAGAATATCTATGAGGCATCAAATACAGGTAATGCAGAAAACCTAGTGATGCTCACTATCTGCTGGCATGGGAATGGTGATTTCTCTCTTATCTCTGACCTAGAGAAAATGCCACAAGGTCGATGTGAACTAGGATTCTTCCACAACAAAGAAAAGCCACCAGCTGAATGTCAGCCTCAAAGGAGGGCAACTTAGGAAATATTTATCTTCTCTGTAAAACCAAACCAAACAAACAAACAACAAGAAACACTTGAAAATCAGAGACAACTTTTCTTTTTTTGGTTTTGATATCTGTTCAAACTACAAGACACAAATGTGCCTCCTATCCCAAAGCCAACTAAAGGTTTTAAGCGTAAGCACACTCTAGGCTCTGAATAAAGGTCAGAAAAAAGTACTCGGCTCACCAAAGCTGCGCAACCCCAGCCTTGTTTCCCCTCTTGGTGCAAAAGAACCCAGGGGTGGACGGGCCCCACTGCCAGACCACTGAGCTGCTGTTCCAGCTGATTTTTTTTTCAGGGCGGCATCCCTGATCAAGAAAGTGGAAAGAACTTTTCCTGGCCTAAGTTTACATTGGTGGAATAGACGGCGTTACAACAATACGAGGAAGGCAGAAGGGAAGGAAGAGTTCCCTTCTGCCAAGTATTTAAGAGACGCTTGATTTATTCCATGTCCCCTATGGGAAGAAACGCCAGGACTTCCTCCAGAAGCGGGGGCATTATTCACACCCTTGAGTTGGAAAAGCATTTGGGGCTAAGAGTCTTCCGCAAAGCCACCAGGCATCGCGCTGAAGTGCTGCAGGCCGCCGTCCAGCGTTGGATTCCGGGTTTCCCCGGTCGCTGGCAGGCGCGGCACCTGTCTGAGCCAGGGAAGTTGGACTGCAGGACGCGCGATCTCCAGGGCACCCACCACACCTCCCACTCTCTCTGTGTGTGTGCATGCGTGTGTGTGTGTACGTCAAGCCAAAATGCTCTTTGCAAGGACGTTGGAAGATGCTTCTTTAGCGGTGCTTGAGAGACAGGGTGAGGCACGCCTCGTGGGGACGGGACGCAAGGCCTGGGAGAGCAGGGATGAGGGTGGCAGGGTCTATCTCCATTCAGCTCCGGATGGCTGGGAGCCCGAATCCACGTGGAATTTGAGCAAAGACTCGCGCTGCCTGCTCCCCAGTCCCACCTACTCCCCCCCCCCGCACGACCCCGGGACCCGCGTGGGTCCCTCCTGCGGCGCTTACCTTGACTGAGAGCTAACACCAGCCGCGACAGCAGC